TCCTTTTAACTAACGGCTTAGGAAAAGACTGGCGACTGCTTCTCTCTGGGAAAGCATGGACAGACAACATCAACTGTTCCAAGGTCACTGCCACTCAGGGTGGGCTTGCAAATTAGGAAGCCAAAATTCTGAGACATCAGTTTCTGTGCCATCATTTTCAAAATACTGGTTTCTTGGCACTGAGAGTTGTGAAGGTATAAGCTTATATTTTAATGCCACATTTTGGTTAGAAAAAAGCACTTTATTAATTTATTAAGCTATTTATTTATTTATAATTTTGCATATTTATTTTTGCATAAGAACGTAGTTAGCATTCAAAATCTATGTATTTATTTATTTATCTATTTATTTATTTATTTGATTGAAATATTTATTTTTATGTACCTAATAAATGCTTGTTCAAATGTTTTCACTTCAATATTGTGTGTTACTAATTTCCTTATTAAAATACAGAACTTAAAAAGAGGATTTTTCTTTCATGCTGTGTCACACAATGGGTTCTCAGAAGGGCAAGTGGTGGCTGAGTTGGGGGGAGGGGGGCAGTTAATTACAACGGCCTATTCTTCCCTCTGGTGAGCGCAGATGGTTTCCAATAGGAGGAATTATAAAAATGATCTACTTTCTTCCTCTTTCCTTACATGCCTCAGTGTTTTCAGAGGTCTGGGTGATAAAATGCACAGATAGAACGTAATGAACAAACAATGGTTAGTCACAGAAATTCCAAGGCGATAGCAGTGGTGGTGCTCAGCACTTCAGATGAGAATCTGGAACTGGACAAGGTTTTTCATTAACTTAAATAAGCAGGGAAATTTGATAAATATTAAGGAAGCCACTGAGTATCCCCTCTAATTCCAGTGAGGAGGGAGGACTACATCAGGAAAAACCCTAAGAAATAGAGCTCTAATTGTATGGCCACGCACCTGCCTGTACCCTGCAATCTACAGAGAAATGACTGGAATACAAGCAGCAAACACTTAAGAAAAAGGGAAAGTTGACCAAATGTTTTGATATTTGTTTTTCTTTGGTCTTTTCCAATAAGGAATTTTGCGCCAACAGCTCATGTTTGCTCATGGTGCAAGATTAAAAGGGAGTTTCTGGTACTGTTTTAGCAAGCTCTTGTGCAACATGACAACTATTCTGACCACATTTTACTTTTTATCCCCATCTCTGCCCCTGTCCCACGGCACTGCATTACACAGCCTAGATCTCGATCTCGGAATGTAAAGGAGACAAAGTTCCTTGAGGGGACAGGTTTTATTCAGACCTGTCTTACAACACTAAGCCTTCCTGTTTTCCGAGTGATTTCTACAAGCTGGCTTCTTTCAGAAATCTAATCTGGAGGGCAGTATGTCAGAAATATCAGCCAAGAATGGGGAGAGGTGGGGAAGAACCGCTTTGTATGCATGCCCATAAAAGTATGTGTGTATCCTAAAGGATTGGCACCAGTTCGAGTGCTATACAGATACTTACAGTAAGCGTGTAACCTTCGTCACCAGCAAAATCCCAGTCAAGTTACTGGCAGCTGAACCTCAGACAAGGAAGGGCTCTTCTCATAAATTCTTCTGTCCCAAACATCAGCAATGGCTGTGCTCCCAGGACCCCAGGCAGGGCAGCTGCACTCCAGCTGAAGCTTATCCCTTCTTTCTCCATCGGTAATCACTCATCGGTGAGACATGATGCAGAGGCTGGCAAGAAATGATAAAATATTGCATTTTTTTTTCTGTGTGCACTCACAAGTTACCTTTCTGAGGAACACAACAACAACCCTCACGCTTCCAAAATGTGCCTCAGCGCTCTCAGAGGGTGCTCAGAGAATCACTGCAGCTCTTCTGACTTGATGACTACCTCTGCCAAATGTGAGCTCTTCTGGGTTGTCTCTGCATTGCTAATATTGCCTCTCCAAAGGTGAACTCGTATTCCATGAAATTACTAACCCTCCTGGCAAATTACTTTTACGTCGAGGCACTTAACAATTAAACCAGTTATGAATTCGTTAACAATCTTAGATACATACCCAAAGTGTTGTCCTGCTCCCCAGTGAGCAAAAGCCATCTCTCCTACATACAATACCAAGGCTCTCATTTGGCAGGCTCCTTCTTCTAAAAACCCAATTGCTTTCTTAATTTTAGTAAAGTGCTGAAATTCACACAGACAACATATTTTTTCAGACCACAATTTGCTCCAGTTTCTTTCCTTGAGACCACCTTTTTTTTACCTCACAAAAAAAAGAATTTCCAGTATCCCAATGACTTAGCCATACATACTCTAGAAATGGATTCCTAAGGAATACTTGAGATTTCACTTAACAATGTGTGTTTATCTTCTGGTTTAAACACCTCTGTTTATTCTAGATGCATGATGTTAGAAAGAAAAACAACTTCCTAAGTGCTTGTTTTAACCAGGTGTTATTACAACTCATTGTCAGGTACTTTCTCTTTTCTATTCTGAACAAATGAAATTTTCACAAGAGTTTAAGTGACTTAGGTGACACTGCCTCAGTCATTTTAAGCTCATCATCTCATGTTCAATGACTAGAGAAGCTTTTCAGTACAGAATGAAGCTTCTAAATCCCTTTAGCCAAACGGATAATGACAAAATCCTTCCAGAAAACAACAGAAACTAGTGAGGGCTTGTTTTCCTAAGACAGCAGCTACATAACTTCATTAGAGTCACACCAACATACAGTCCATAAGATTGGGATGAAAACTTCCCGTAAGCATGTTGGGTAAGAGTTTTTGCATAAGGCATTTAAAGTCAATGCAAAGAGCTGCACAGAAATTCTATATTCAGAGAGCGGAAAAAAGTTTCTTTATTTTGGGGGGCGGGGGGGGGATCCCTGGTAATCCTGTATTGATTTGAAGTGCAAGCTCAGCATTGTTGCTTAAAACTAGTATCCCATGGAGAAGCGCAAAGAGCAAGTGATGGATAGCAAGCGCAATTTAAAGAAATAATTAACAATATACAGCAGCAGAAGTAAGTTAGGGCATTCTGAAGTGCCACTGAATGGAGCGTGCAGAGATCCGGATTTCTTATGCAACATTCTCACGTATTAGGAAACCTGTGTGTACAGAACCCCCACGCTGTGCTGGAGCACACTTGTTCAGCACTTCAGCTGCTGGGAGTGCACCTTTCCAACATAAACCCTGGTGTGAAATAGAACCAGAGCAGGGCGTCTGCCAAGAAGAAAACTTCTGCACAGCGATGGATGGCAAATCTGTTGCTGTTGCTGTGGTTCTCTATCTGGTCTTAACAGCAGGGTCAGAAGGTAAGAAAATGATTTCTGAAAACTCACATAACCAATCAATAAATATACATAGGCAAATGCAAGCGGGCTTGTGCTATGTTAATGTTGACTTCTTGCAAGATGTGCATCTTCCATAAATTGTCTTTCAGAAATAAAAAGTATCATTTGTATTTGCATCTGTTAGGATGCTGGAGTGGTTTCTGGGAGTAAACTATGCTTCTGTCAGGGAACCACTTTACTCCTGTGTCATAATAAGACAGGACCTTATTTCCAAACATGTCCATACATCTCTTTAAATGACAACTTTTTCCTATTTGTACTTTTATTCTTGGTAGACAGGTTGATGACAGTGCTTCCTGAAAGCAAGAACTACACAATTTGCAGAACAGAATAAAGAACACGAGCAGAAACTAGTAAACAATATGTGGACATAGTTAATGATGTTAATTTGCTTTGTTCAAGTGCAATTTAGGCGCAGGATCTGGCCAGGCACAAATGCACTGTGAAAACATCTAAGTATGTTCAGGCAGAGAGAGAAGTTTAACTGCATCTGCATACCAACATGCTGTTGCACAGGTGCAGTTAATTTTATCTCAAAGCCTTCAGCAAGTCAGCGTGTCTGAGTAACAAGAATAAGGCTGACAGAAGGGAATACTCTCTGCTTCAAAGGAGCAAATAATGAGACTGTTCATTTACTGAGACATAACTTACTTTTGTTCTACAGGTAAGGCCCTGGCAAAGACAGAGGAAAAGGGCTCCCAATGCCTGTGCATAAGCACTCACTCCAAGTTCATCCCTCCCAAGGCTATTAAGAACGTGAGATTAAGCGTGCGCGGACCTCGCTGCAAAAAAGAGGAAATCATGTGAGCATTTTTACAAAATAGCATCGTGCTTTCAGTAGGAGGAAGTGACTTGATATTTCACACCCTACTTACTTACTATGGGTGGAATTATACACCCCTTTCAAAGCCTTTTAGACACTAAGTATAAGGTTTTAGACCTTCTATCCAAAGGCATGAGCTAATTTTCTGCAAAACTTGCAAGCCACTTCCAGAAAGTATTTTAAAAGTCCGTCCCTCTAAGCTAGTATCTTAATTATGAGTATCAGAGAGGAGAGAATTAAATCCCCACATTCAGGGCACGATTAACAATTTAGACAATGAAGAAACAATTGAAGTTACAATCTTGTTCCCATTGACACGAATTGAAACAATTTCTACCACCTGTGTTTGCATGTGGCAAAGTTTGAGACTCCATGAATTATGTCAGAATTGTATATTGAGTGATTTCCTGTGCCAGGAGGGTGGATCATAAATTGTGAGTACGAAGTAAAAGATATGGTGAGCTTCATTTAAAATCACATCAGAAACCACTCACATAAATTGGGTCAATCTCAAGGGAGATTTCAGGTTTTCATGCTTTCACAAGCAAATAAAACTTGTACGAACATATCCTCTGTGCAGCATTGCATGTCATCCAGTTCTGCATCACAAGTAATTGGTAATGTTAGCCAGGTTTCATTAAAAAACACTGAAGTTTCCAAGATAATTAAGTTACTGAAAGACCTGCTAAACTATGACCAGATAGAGAACAGAAACCAAATAAAAAAATCATCAGTCTCATTAAAATGATTGCATCATAAGCACTTATATTGATACAATTTATTTAAAAAAAAAAACAAAACAAAACAAAACACAAACTTAAATGCCCAACTATAGAAAAAGTATAGGAAAATAATTTTTCCCTAGTTCTCCCCAAAATGCTATCTGGGAAATATCAAACAAGTTCAATAAACAAAAGTTTGTACCTTGTCCTTCAGTTAGTTAATTGACGAACAGCTAAGACAAATTTCAAAACATCAGGAGAGGGGAGGGGACCCACCTAGCCTTAACTCGTCTCATTCTTGGCAGAGTTACACTGAAAGATGGCAGACGAGTGTGTTTGGAACCTTCTGCTCCCTGGGTCCGGCTCACTGTAAAGGCTATATTGGCCAGGTAAGTTGTTTTCTTTACTAGAACAGCTTCAGCTGAAAACTGGTTTTAGAAGGCATATATTAATTTCTTGGCAGGAAAATATTCACTCTCTTCAGGCATTAGTAATTCAACCGTTGTCTCTAAATCAATATTTCTAAATGCCTGAGGATTAAAATAGTTTCCGGGTTTTGATACCTTCCCTGTGTGGTCAGCCACCCAAAAGGCCACAGGCGTGATGCACCTAAACATCCATATAGTCTGGGAGCGCATTTGACACTTCCAAAAATCAAGCTCTAAAAGACTCACCTCCTCTTTCTGGGTATAATTCAGGCATACAGCTGGCATTTCTAAGCGTATTAGCTTTCTGGAGACAATCATGTCCCTCCTTCACACAGCTTGGACACAGACATATGGAAGTCCTTTCTGCTGGAGCAGTACCTGTGTAAACACAGGAATTTTTTGTCTTTCAACATACATCAATTGGCTGATGCAATAAAAATATGTCATTGACAACTTTTGAGCACCTACTGCTCTCCCTGCAGCTTGAATTAATGCTAATTGTTTCACTAATAAATTTCTGAATTCACTTTATACCTCATCTAATTACAGGGCCAGAAACAATACTGAACCACCTATCAAAGAAAATTCACCAAAAAATACACCTTGGAGTTTTTCAAGGACCTGAAATGAAACACTTACTCATGAGAACATCAAGGAACAGACCCTCCTCCTCCTACATTACTACATTTGGGGTTTTTTTCTCCTGAGATGGTTGCTGATTCCACTTGTTTCCTTTGCTGTGTCTGTCTTGAAAACTTTGTGATGGAAAAAGGAGTTCAAGCTTAATGAATGTGTTTTAGTGTTGTAAGGACAAGAATAAACAAGAAGAAATTAGTTACCCTTAAACAGCCTTAACTTGGAGTAGAAATGGAAAGGATGCAATTAGTAAACACATGAATAAACATATAATAAGGAAGAGTCTGTAGCTTTGAAGGAGGTCTTCTTTCACACTCTTGTTAGAGTTCTTTGAAGGTGACAAGCCTCAGATAGTCCATCTGTCCTTCTGAAATCCTCTCACAACCCTCACCAAACCTCAGAAATAATGAGACTAAGAAAGAGGCCTTGGAAATGGATACATAACAGGTGAATACAAAGAAATGATGGACAGAATGAAAAGGTCGGCTTTTTTGGGTAAAGGGACGTCACCCATGGACTCCTACACCAGCTTGTGTGGGGTCCTATTTGGTTTGGCATATCCACAAGTGGTCTGGGAAGGTCATTTGCTACGAGCTGAAGTATTCTGATGATGCTAAAGGTAGAGCAGTAAAGACCAGGCTCAACTACAGAGAACTGCAGACAGACCTTAGGAGACACATTGATTAGACAATAAACTACCCGGTGAAATTCACTGCAGGAAGTAGTCACGGTGATTGACATAGGAAAACATTACAAAGCTAATATAAAAATGAGACATTCTAGGCTGCCCATTAGCACATAGGATAGGGATCTTGGGACTACGTTAACTTGTGCAATAGGAATATCACATCAGGGCTTAGCAGTGAAAAAACCCTTCAGAACTAAAGCAAAAAAAACCCAGAAACCCAACCCATCCAAATATCACAATTAGAAGTTACTAGGGCATGAATAAGAACTACTGAAATTTGCTATGCCACCATGTAGGTGTGAGATTCAGCCCCACGCAGAGCACTGTGCAGCCTCTGACTCCCACCTTCAAGAGGACAGAGTGGAAATTGGAAAGCTTGTGGTAGCACAACCAAGATGAACAAATGCTCCATACAAGAAGTGACGAAGCAAACCAAATCTCTTTCAAAAGCGAGATACCTCGGGGTGGCCATAAGAGAAGTGAATTCAACCCCACTTCTCCATGAAAGAACTATTTTTCGGGAAGCGGCAGAGCTGCTGTAGCCCCTGACAGCTGTAGCAATGTGCTCTACAAAAACCAAAGATGACTTCATTTTCTACGAGCAGCCAGATAATAATTTTTTCTGGTGGCACATCTTTAAAATGACCTATGAGACATGCCACTCAGTGGAATGGTGAATGCTGATTAAAATGTGATTGACTGAAGAAATGAAGGGTGTTTATAAGCAACTTCAGCTAAAGAGTATGTGACCAGGTGTACCTGCAGCACGGCTGCAAGCAAGTAAGCATGGACTAACACATAAACTGCCTCCTGCGGGGTGCTTCACTGTGTCTCATCAACAGTCCAAAGTCACTACCAGCCTTGGGGTAGCCTAAAGACTATGAGTTAACGGCTTTCATAGAATCATAGAATCATAGAATGGTTTGGGTTGGAAGGGACCTTAAAGACCATCCAGTTCCAACCCCCCTGCCATGGGCAGGGACACCTTCCACTAGACCAGGTTGCTCAAAGCCTCATCCAGCCTGGACTTGGACACTTCCAGGATGGGGCATCCACAGCTTCTCTGGGCAACCTGTGCCAGTGCCTCACCACCTTCTCTGTGAAGAATTTCTTCCTGATATCTAATCTAAACCTTCCTGATTTCAATTTGTACCCGTTACCCCTTGTCCTGTCACTACAGGTTCTTGTAAAAAGTCCTCTCGCAGCACCCTTGTAGGCCCCCTTCAGATACTGGAAAGCTGCAATGAGGTCTCCTCGGAGCCTCCTCTTCTCCAGGCTGAACAAGCCCAGTTTCAGAAGGATGCAGCTAACATTAGAGATACTAAGTTATCTGTGTTATTTCTGAAGTGATATTTATTGTGCCGTAATTTCCACTTACAGATAGGAAGATGCAGGCCGAGACACATATACACAGAAAGGGGTTTCACTTACAGATAGGAAGATGCAGGCCCAGACACGTATATACAGAGGGGGCTTTAGAAGACATATTTCTGAAGAAAATGACCCAATATTTATTTTAATATAATGGGACATATTTTGCAATATTTTTTCTCTCACGTTAGTTCTACCTGTTACAATAATAGCCCACACATTTTGCTTTGCAAAAGATTTAGAAGACATATTTCTGAAGAAAAAGACTCAATATTTATTTTAATATACTGGACATATTTTGCAATTTTTTTTCTCTCATGTTAGTTCTACCTGTTACAGTAATAGACCACATATTTTGCTTTGCAAAAGGATTTTGCAGCTTATATATTTATTATGCTAAATGTTACTGCTCAAGGGTCCAGGAGACTGTTTATAAGACTAAACATTGGTTTAATGTGTTAATTCCCACTGCATTTATTCTTAATTTCTTTACAGAGTCAGAAAGGATGTTAAAGATTAAGTTTTTTCTTAATGATTTGTTACATGTCATTGATGTCTGGCAATATAAATCTAGTTTCTGAGGATAGAAAGCGCTGAAGTGCAGATTCTAGCATCAATCACCAGACCAGAGAGAGGTGGTCAGAGCAATGGAGGACTGCAGGCAAAACCACCATGACTGCCTCATGGAGTCTGATCTTATGAGCCCCAGGGTGGGAGAGTGGGGCATGGGGGCACCCTCAGGCTAGGCAGAACATCAGCCTGCAACCAGACGTGTAGGAAACTCTCAGGACAGTCTCATTCTTGATAGGGACTGACCTCCACTGGAACCCCCAACCACAGCAACTCTGGATTCCAATCTGAATTTGTAAGCTGACTAAACACATGGGTTGTTCCTTCCCACTGCTGCCCCACCAAGCTTTGGCAAACAGTAAGATTCTACCTGTCCAGTAGCTTGAAATCCAATGGATCAGCAGGTTTATATGTAAGAGCTTTCATGCAAAACAGATCTCATATATAATACTAAACAATATATTTTTATTCAAGATTCAGTTGTCTATATTTCTGCACTTCCATAGGCAGGCTATCTACCTACGTTCACCTGAGCGCTACAGAGAAGCTCTCCATCTCTGTGCATACCCTGCTACGACTGCACTGCAGGAAGGGTTCAGGCTAACATTTGGCCAGCTGCACTGGCTGTAGCTTGAGCAGACAGTAAGATGACAGCAAGCGACACTTTAAAACTCAAGAGATGAATGCATGACGTATATTATGTCTACTGACCACTTCTAATTTAATCAAAAGTTCCCAGCACGAACTTCTTAAAATTCACCATGTGTTTCCTCACACCACTTCCATATCTTGTTTACTCAGTCAGACAAAGCTTCCTGCCAAACTCATGAAAGGGAAATTTAACTAAGGCAATAAACGCAGCCTTCATAGAGCAGGTAAAACCCCAGCTAATGCTCCCTAACGATTCTCTAGTTGGACTTAGTATCTACACTGTTAATACCAATAGATTGCATTTATTTTCAATATGAATATTTGTAACATTTGCTAATGTTTTAGGTAAATATTATAATGAATATTAATGTATCATTTTCTAGTATTACTAGATGCCTTACATTAATATTGTCAATGACTCTTCATATTGAATGGGATCAAATGAACCATTTCATTTAACCCACATCAATTTTTCAACTGAAAGCTACAATACAGAGTTGACTGTTTTCAAGAGGAACTGAAACATATATCATAAATAAATATGTGGTCACATGAATACATACTTATACTGTCATAAATGGCTAAATTAAAAGGCAGATCAACTAAAAAGCTGTACTGCTATTGTGTGATTCCAGAGGGATTCAGGAAAGTCCAGCACTTACCGTGATCTGACTAAGGGTACATAACCAGCTATATTTAGACACTTAAGTTTGCAAAAAATTAATAAACTGACCTAAGCTTTTCTCCTTTCTTTACTATACTTCCTCAAATGGCAAGTCAAAACCCAGATGTTTAGGAGACGTTCTGCTTTTTAAGTATCTGCTCCCTCCTCTTTGCCTCACTGTAAACTTCCACAAGTGTTTGCACAACGCTGTGCCGAATTTCTGAGCAGCGGAAGCGATTATTTCCCAGCCTCTGTGTTTGCCCCTTCTGCTCTCTGCAGGTGAAGTGGAATGGCAGGTGAATACCAAGCCCTTTGTAAGGAAAAGGAGGTGGCTTCAGAGGACAGATGGGATCTTTTCCCTGGGGAACAAAAGCAGGCTGGTAGAGAGAATGCAGAGGAGACAGGAGTTGACAGTGTTCACCTTGCACAGGCTGAACCCTCCTTTCATTGAAAGCTTTGTCTCCTGAGCCTTCATGGCCTTGTGTGCACTACTTCTCAAGTAAGAGGTTTGAATTTGTCTAAAACAAGTCAGAACCTTAATTTTCTTAGACAGAGTAACTTTATCAGCCCAGAGGCTGACTCCTCTGGAACTGGGGTGATGCAGATCACTAGGGGACTCTCCCCCATCCTTCATGATGGTCACCAGACTATACATGAATCCCCCTCACTGTGCCCTTTGTGTTTGGGTATCCTTTGCTACATGCAAGGACTCTGAACGATCCCAGTCAAGATCTCATAAGATTCCCTTTTAACTTCTATGTTCATTACACAAGGCAATGAGTCATGAAAAAGAAAAACCACTGGTTTCCATCCTGCAGCATGGAGAGCACATCCTATACCCTGCCTTAAAACACAGGCAAGGGAGAGATTTACTTCCCTTTTCAGCAGTGTTTCAGTAACCGGGATATTGCATAACCGCTGTTTTGTTCGTTACAAGCGTGTTTTTAACAGGGTTGAGCATGGAAGGTCCGCTTGCGGCGGTATCAGCTCACTCAGTGACGTTATCCTTCAAAAGGAGCAGCGATTCCGCTTGGACATGTCATCT